GACTCCTATCCAGCTGCCTGCGGCAAGTCCCGCCACTGAGCCAGTCTTAAGTCGGGCCTGTCCCTCTACAGGAGGAGCAGTCAAAAATAGTCACAAAATAATGGGGGGACGAATTTTTGAGTACTTGTTTGACCATTTGGGGGTATTTTTGGACTATTTTCAATATGTTGTCCAACATCCCCCTGTGGGAGGACAGGCCCGACTCAAAGCCAGCCCAGCATTCTGGGTGGCGGCTTCCTCGGAGGGGCACGGGGGCCGTCACGCGTGCGGCGCCTCGTGTCTCCAGGCTTCTGGGAGAGCCGTGGTGGGGATTAGAATGATTACGAGGATGATGGGGGTGGTGATGATGGTGGTGATGGTGATGGTGATGACGACGACGATGATGCTGATGATGCTGATGATGCTGATGATGATGATGATGGTGCGGACCACGACGGCGAGGTCTACGACGACGACGATGACGATGACGCTGGTTCTGACGATGCTGATGCTGTCAATGATGATGGTGGTCGTGTTGGTGGTGGTGATGTTTATTCTGATGATTATGGTGTTGCTGCTGCTGATGATGGTGGTGGTGGTGGTCGCGATGATGATGATGATGATGATGATGATGATGATGATGATGATGATGATGATGATGATGATGATGATGATGATGATGATGATGATGATGATGATGATGATGATGATGATGATGATGATAATGATGATGACGGCTTCAGTTTGCAGTGCTTGGCATGGCATGGCTCACGCGAGACCGAACCTTACGCGGTTGAGCGTCTGTGCCCGCGCAGGCTGCTGAGCCCAAAGGGAACCATAGAGATGATGGCCCTCCAGGGAGCTGCGAAAGACCGAGGGAAGCGCTCGTCAGGAGAGGAGACTCTCCGCTCACACGCGCCCGAGTTTTGGAGCAGATCACGGTGGCGTCAGTGCAGTTAGAGAGCTCCCGGAGTGGTGTGGTGGTCTGGGGGTCTCGTTGGATCGCCTAGGAGGGCCCGCGGCATGCCAAGACGAGAGCAGCTTCTTCCACCACAGGGATGGGAGCACATAAGCGTACCAAACAAGCTTGTGGTACGCCAGTTCCCCCTCCCCTGTTTCGATCCCGGCCGCGGGGGAGCGAGATGAGGAACATGACAAGGCGACCAGCTGCGCCCGCCAGCCAGGGCTCGTCTCGAGGCCCCAGCTCCGCCTGCGCGCGCGGAGTCGCTGACGCCCTCACGGCCCATGTCCGATGGCCTGCAAAATGCGGCCTCCTGATGCCTCGATCCACGGTGCGTCCAAGCTGTTGACTGCTGCCATGCCCACCACTCCTACAGGCACTGCCCCTCCTGTGAAGTAAGAAGCCAACATGGTTCCAGTATTGATATCCAAGTCGCCCGCCATGATGCATAGCTCCCACTTTGCATCCCAATGCCCGTAGCGATATCCAGGATAGAAAGGAATGCAATGCTCAGAGCAACCACAAGTGGAGCGCCCTCACAATGAACATGACAGTGCGGACTGCGTATTTTGATTAGGGCAAGGACGATCCAGGCCATCTTCTTGACGACCTCGAAGAGCGTGTTGATCCGCTTCTCTTTGGGCCTCCAGGGGGGCCACACCCTGGTCCATGTCCTTGATGATGCGGCCCACGCCGCTGGGACCTTGACGCTCGACCACCTCTCCTTGATACTCTCCTTGAGCTCCGCCATCGTGCCGCTCTCAAGCTTGAGCGCGCGGCCAGGCTCAGCGGCGGCGCAGGCGCGCCGAGATGCCGTCGGCGTGGTGGGCGGCGCGGCGACAGACGGCGGCGGTGGCGGGAAGGGATGCGGCGTGCTGGGCGGGGCTGCCGCTGCGGGCGCCACCGCAGCACTCGCCACGGCCGCGGGGCAGCCGGCCTGCACTGCCTCGGTGGCGGCGGCGGGGGAGAGCTGCGGTGCGATCGCGGCGGCGATGGTCCGGCCCCGCCGCTCGTGCTCCTCGAGGCGTGCGGCCGCCTCCTCGGACTCCACGGGCTTCCTGTGGCGCCTGCCGTGCCTCGGGAGGAGCCTCTCGGCAGCCTGAAGCTGGTCCTCCGTGTCGGAACGGATCGAGCTGCTCGAATGGTGCTCCTTGTCTTATTGTGATTCTGATGAGTTGCTGCGATTCCGATCCCGATTACGGTCACGGTCATTCTGCTTCGGCTGTCAAGTCGACGGCCGAGCACCGTAGCCGGGAGATTGCTGCTGACCACGCCCGCCATTAGGCCTGGCCATTTCGGCATGCTTCTGGCTGTAGTACAGTGGCCTCACGCACCTTCGAGCCTGAGCAACTGCAGGATAAGGGGGGATAGCGTGGACCAGCGAGTGAACATATGAGATGGGAAATTGAGCCCATACTCACGATAAACTGCAGTCAACGAGCCAACTCCAATGAGAAACACCCAGAGAGTCTCCCCAACAACTGAGCCCGAAGTCTCGTAAACGGCGTGGGCAACTGATCGAGCCATGGGAGCAGGTTACTCTTGTGCTTTGGTCCGCGGCCAAAAATCCAAGCACGATTCGGGTTCTTGATCATCCAATCTGCCTTCTGGGCGAATGCGTGCAACTTTCGGTCGAGACAATTGCATACACGAGGCCCGTCGGATCCACTGCAACTGCTCTCGAACACGAGCGATAAGAGGCTCATTAGAAACCGAGACGAACACGAACTCGGCACAGCTAACGCAATACACACATATATTTATATATATATGTATATATGGATACAGATTTTTATATAATTCTGTACATATAGATATATCGATATTTGATAGGGCCGGGGATCCCGGAAAAAAAGAGCCCCCCTATCGAATTTGGCTCACCCTGGGCCATTCGGGCAGCCCCCCAGATGACCTGGGAGGACCTCACGAGAGTCTGAAGACGGCCCCAGAGGGCCCCCGACGTTCCAGCGCGCTCCCGAAACGACCCCAAGAACCAAAAGACGGTCGACGACGACCCCGAATGAGCAGTCATACCCCGAAAGATCGCTCCAAAACGTTCCAAGAGGCCTCCAAGAGCACTCCCACGAGGGCCCCAAGAGGCCAAACTCATTGATTTGCCGTTGGTTTGTGGGGGATTTTGAGTTCTCCCCTTTTCGGCTTCCCGACGCTCCAAGACGGCCCAAGAGGCCTCAAAGATCGCCCTACGATGGCCCGGCAGACCTCCAAGAGGCCCCCAAACCGGCCCAGGGCCCCGAGACAGTCCCGACAGGGCCCCAGGAGGCCCCAGGAGGCTCGCAAGAGGCCCCGAAGAGGCCTCAAGAGGCCCTAATGAGGCCCGCAAGAAGCCCCAAGAGGTTCCCAGGAGTCCCAAAAAGATCCCGCAAGGATCCCAAAGACGTTCGAGATCGCTCCAAAACGTCCCAAGAGGCCTCCAAGAGCAACCCCAAGAGGGCCCCAAGAGGCCAAACTTATTGATCTTCCATTGGTTTGTGGGGGATTTTGAGTTATCCACTTTTCGGCTTCCCGACCCTCCAAGGCGGCCCACGAGGCCCCCAAGATCACCCTAAGACGGCCCGGCATACCTTCAAGAGGCCCCCAACCGGCCACAATCTGACTATTCCTCCGCCCGGGCGTCCGCCCGGGCACCCGGACACCCGGGCGCCGGCCCGGACACCCGGACACCCGGGCACCCGGGCACCCGGACACCCGGACACCCGGACACCCGGACACCCGGACACCCGGGCACCCGGACGCCCGGACGCCCGGACACCCAGGCACCCGGGCACCCGGACACCCGGACACCCGGACACCCGGGCACCCGGGCACCCAGACACCCGGACACCCAGGCACCCGGACACCCAGACACCCGGACACCCGGACACCCGGACACCCGGGCACCCGGGCACCCTGACGCCCGGACACCCGGGCACCCGGACACCCGGACACCCGGACACCCGGGCACCCGGACACCCGGACGCCCGGACGCCCGGACACACCCAGACACCCGGACACCCGGACACCCGGGCACCCGGACGCCCGGACGCCCGGACGCCCGGACGCCCGGACACCCGGACACCCGGACACCCGGACACCCGGTCACCCGGACACCCAGACACCCGGACACCGGGGCACCCAGACGCCCGGACGCCCGGACGCCCGGACGCCCGGGCCCCGGACGCGCGGACGCCCGGACGCCCGGACACCCGGACGCCCGGACACCCACGCACCCGGGCACCCGGGCACCCGGGCACCCGGACACCCGGGCACCCGGACGCCCGGACGCCCGCCTGAAGGAATTGACCTGTTATAAGAGTTATCAATAGTTATAAGTAGGTTATAAGTATGTTGTAAGTAGGTTATAACAGGTTATAACATGTTATAATGTGTTGGCGCACTTATAAGTTTGCTAAGTCGGAGCCCTGAGTTAGCCCGAGTTATAAAAGTTAGTAACTCCGCTAACTTTTCAACATGGTTCTCACCATATCGACATAATCATATATTTTGCAGGGTGTACTCTTCAAAAAAAGAAGAATTTGATAATATTTTTGCAAGTGTTGCACTCATCATTGCGACTTCTCGCATATCATATCTACGCTGATCACAATTGCAATCGATGCAAATCCGCAGGTAGTGTTGCAACAATTGAGTTGCATGTTGTTTTTTTGGGCATGCCATGTTGAGTCCGTTGTCATTTGGGCTCCAGGGCATTTCGCGCGCATCATTTTGTGCTCACGATTTGCAAGTTGCGTCTTGCATCCATCTGAGACATGCAGCCGCATGGAGCGGATGCTAAGATTCTCAAATGCAAGGACGCAATGGACATTATTGAGAGGAAGTTCGACTCGCCTAAAGCAGAGGTGGTGGATTTGTACGAACAGGTCAAGGCGATAGCTCGCCAACATGGTATGCTACTGACAGAGAAAATCAACAGTAAGTATATGTACGTGAGCCCATGCAACAGATATGGCGACGGCGTCGTGCCGTGTGACGTCACTGACTTGATCATTAAAATATTGGGAAATGGGTTCAGGCACGAGCATCTGTTGATGCCTACGTGTGC